TTTGGTAGAATTCCATATGTGGATCCAAAAAAACTTTTAGATTTAAAGTTTAAGTATGAAAAAGCTTCAGATATTTACAGTTATGGTGTATTGATGTGGGAAATCTCTAGCGGAGTTCCTCCATTTAAGGAATTGATTAGTAAAGGTGATCTTGTGGTGCTTCGTCTTTTTATCATTGATGGACATCGTGAAAATGTTATAGAAGGGACCCCTGAAGATTATAAGGAACTTTATGAAAAATGTTGGAATTCTATGCCTGAAAATCGGCCTAATATAAAAAAAGTTTTAGAAAAGTTTAAAAAAATGGGATATGGAATATATGAAGAACATAATTCAACTTTTGAGTATTCTACTAAGAAAATAGAAACTAATATTAATTACATTTCAAGTGAAGGTATAGTAATGTAAATTAATATATTATTGATTTAAATTTTTTACTAATTATACTATAATTTTTACAATAATTTTTTATATTAGAATTGCTAACAAATGATTTGAATCGTCAATTAAATATACAAGATGATTTAAGTAGTAAGTTATTTAATTTTATATTTAGTGCTTAATGAAATACAGTATGCTAACTAAAATTTGAATTTTCTATTTATAACGATAAGTTTCATAATTTAGTTTTTAAAATTTTTAAGTAATAGTTGGAAGTTTATTTTTATATGTTATATCTTTTATCATTTTGAGAAAACAAATTATTTTTAGATATGATTCTCCTCATGCAAAATATTTTATAAACATTACATTAAATTATTTAAACTATTTCTAACCAATAAATATTAAGATTGTAATATTTAAATTTTTACCGAAAAATTTAATTGAATAGAAAATCAATAAAAGTTAACACTCATGGTTAGCTTAATAAGAAAGCTTCTAAGGGAATAAATCTAAATGTGACAATTTCAAATATAGAATCTTTTGCAATAGTAAGGAAGCAACTTGAAAAAATTTTTTGAGATAAATTTAAATTTGCTATTAAATTGAAAATTTTTTTAATTAAGTCAATAATCAAAAATAATCATTTATTATTTTCCTAATGTGCTATATTGGTAAGATTTAGAGGTTGGAACTGAATTCGACCTTCAGGTTTAAATCCGGTTTCCCCAGTTTAGATTTAAAACTGGATACAAAATTTGTCCAGCAGAAAAACTGGGTTTATTATTTAAACCCTCGGAATCTAGTTATTTTTGACCATTCATATAATGCGCGCGTCACAATTAACTAAAAACAATTTATTTATATTGGCTAAAAGTTTGCGTTTAAGAGCAAATTCTTAATTAGAAACCCAAAACAAAAATAATAATGATTATTATTATTTTCGTTTGAAAATTTTAATTTATTATATATCGTTATAAACTAAACTCGAATTTGAATTCATTTACAAATGCTACGCTAATGAATTATATAGACGTAAGTGATGATGTTTATTCTACGCTAAAAATTTTCTAATTCATTATCGTCGTTCTTTTTGAGTGAAGTTTTATTTCTAATTCTTGCAAATTTTTGCGAGTTTATACAATCTCTTCCGGTTCAAGTATTACATCTTTATAAAAATATTAATGGTACGGCTTAAAGTCATCGAACTGAAAATTAAAAAAAGGTAAATTGAAAAATTGAAAACTGAAAATAAAAATAATACATATTGCGCGATCTTTCGATGGCCTAAAAAAATGAGTAATAAAATTTAATGAAAAATAAAAATAAAATAAATATAAAAAATTATTAAATATCTATAAGTGTACTAAATAAAAGAAAAGGTATTATCTTTTTATCGTTATAACCAGATTAATTGCATAAGATTTTTTTTCGTTAAACAAAAAAATTTAAATAATTGCATGCAAAGCATTATGAAAGTTGTATACCTTTTCTAGCAGTTGAGGGCTTTTTCGGTTACAATAAATTCGGATATAATAAATCCGAATTGAATCTGAAGAAACCAGATATAATTAAATCCGGTTCCAATTTTTGAAAGTAAATAAATCCGGATATAAAAATAAATCCGGTTCCAAATAAGATTGACATTAGCGGTGTGAAGAAACAAAGATCGATACATATTATTTATGAAATAGTAAGCGAATGCTCTTGAATTACAGTATAAAGCCTGTCAAAATAATCTTTTACAATAGTTGAATTAGAAATAGCAAAAATTTCAATTTACTGAGATTAACACGCAAATCTTTATTCACAATTTCACAATTTTAACCCCAATTTTTTTTTACCAGTTAAATTGTTTTAAACTTTTTTTTAAACAGTTTTAATTTTTATTTAATTTCACCATACTTTCTATATACTAATAAAGTTATTTGTATAAAAAACATTTTTTTGCAATTATATTGATTATAGTTGCACGCAGTCGAAACGTTTATAGTTATAAACAATAGAAAAGGTAAGCAGAAGTTTTATTTATTTAAGTGTCTTTATTAATATCAAATGGAAAACCTAACATAAATCTACGTAAATAAGGTATTGCCTCAATCTTCGGCACTCTATACGATCAGATACGTAATTTATTATACGCATTCGTTATTCGTTACAAATAAAAGGAAAGGGGATATATGCTAATGTTGTCTATAGTTTATATCTAGGGAATATATGGAACACTTGATACGTTCTATGCAAGCGAAATCCCACTTCTTTTATACTTAAGGACTAATTGTTCAGAGGCCTTTTTGTTCTCGAAACATAATGACCAGATGGCATATTGGCCAGGAGACAATTTGGCCAGGGGACAATTAATTTAAACTAAACAGAAATGACACAATGCCCTGGAACTAATAGAACACGATAGAACAATTAAATTACTAATATTTCTTTGTAACCATTATCATATAGTTAAGCATATTCAGCTGCTGATATAAAATCATAAAAAAAAAAATTTTCGACGAAAGGCTTAGAGGGGCATTTTGCTAGTCCATGACCCAAATGTTTGTTCACTATAGACGCCGTAGCTTAGAACTGGAATTTCTATGTTACTTAAAATAGTCATTAGTAAACAATCCTAATATAGATTCATTATGAAAGAATCAAACGACAAATGTACGAAGGCAATTAATCGCAACCTTTTGTCAGAGATTCATTACCGTGATCAACGTCAAAAATTTGACAAAGCGATGAAATTTATGATTTTATCATTGTTGAATTCAATTTACATTTGTTAATATTTTGATTTAAAAATTTAAATTTATACTAATTATATTATAAAAGCTTCCAAGGCCATCGAAAACAATGCTCGTTGTTAGCTTAAACGGTTCGTCGTTAAGTTAACTAAGATTATTTGCTAACAGTGAGTTTAAGTTTGTCTAAACTATGGAAGAAATAAACACGAATAATTAAATTGAAGGGTCAGGTCGTCTTTATCGATATAGATTTAAAGAAGTATGAAATTGTATATTGAGCAACGATATAATTGT